GATGCAGTTGCTTTACACAGCCTGATCTAACCCTGGTGATGACTGCAGCCCCTGGGAACCTTCCTGAAATGTTATGCTAAGAAAAAAATTGCAAACAGTTTCTGTTCGAAATCAGCAGATTTTCTGAAGACAATGTGAAACAACTAGAGGCTAAATGACCGAACTGCATCCTCCATTTGCTTGGTATAGTTATACTTGCCCAATGAGGAATAGCAACCAAAACATGGAATTAAGGCAATTTCTCATAGAGAAGGCAGTTTCTCGTAATGAATAGCAGATACATGCAGTGAATGCAGCTCACAAGCCAGAGGCTAAGATTCTTTTTAGTAGAAAATCTTTGTGTAGTAATTGTCAAACAGATATGTAAAAAATTAGATCCAGCACAAAAGGTGAATTTTGTGGAATAAATTACTTGCTCTGAATAGTTTGTAGAGAGGTATCTACAAAACAGAAGGAAAAGCTGCCCGGAGGTAGCAAAGGCTCAGAACATCCACGTCAGCCTTTTCAGTGAAGCTCATGATATCAAAAGCCCTGGCAGGAAACATAATAAACAAACGCTAGCTTTACAGCTGAACCCTTCTTAGAAATCAGCGTGTATATTACAGGAGAAGAGTGGGTATCGCTAGGTTTTGGGTATTTGCTTACTACAGAAACCAAGGTGCCTGCCAGGTCAGTGCTGGCTTGTTGTGGAGCTTGGAATGATGTTGTTCATCCAGAGTAAATAAGCTGCTGGCTCCTTGCATCTACCTGTGGTTCCTGATAATTCTTACCCTACAGTTGCTGCAAAGAGACTTAGTGTGTTAGAAATGCTCCGTAGCTGTGAGCCCTTCACTTACCAAATGTGACTTGCTGACAAGGCGTTGGGTGGCTCTGTACCTAAAGCTTAAGGACAGTTCCACAGTCTGCCTCCTTGAAAGTTGGGAGGGAGGAAGGGGGAAATGGGAAACCTTGTAATTCTGACTTACAAGAGGGGAGTTTAGTCAGATAACCTATGAAAGTAACTTAGATATTCCACCTTGGGCTGAATCTGAAGTGATTTTAAGAACACAGAACACAGTAACTGCTCCTGCAGGTTACCAGTTTTGTGAAGGACCAGCTAAAGGACTACTAAAGCTCTCAGAGGAGCTGATCCTTGTCATGCAGAAGGTGAAACCATATGGGCACAGTGATGGTATAATTCCTGAAGCTTGACAACCACCTTTGCAAAAGTTAAGCTGGCCTCATGGGGAAAATTCTTCTGTGCACTTCTGAGGTACAAAGTTTTAGGATTGATGTGACCAATGCCTGGGTGGCATTCTGAGTTTTCATCTCTGCTTTTCTCGGAGCAGTGCTGAAAGAATCTTAAAGAAGCTGGTGATGGAAAGTTCTGGAGAAAAATCATTTACTTACCAGTATGGTATGGATACCAGCAGCATGAGCTCCCTTTATAATAGATTTCAATCCTGTTTGGCTTTGAGTGGGAGAAGAGTTCAGTCACTCCTGCATTGCTGGCAGTTTGGGTCCTCTGCAAAGGTAGCATTTACTGCTCTCACACAGCAATGAGCAGAGTTTTGCCAGCAGCTGAGCTCACATCAAGAGCATTGGGATAGTTCTGTGAGCAGCACAGAAAGGAATTGCACAATATTTTCAGTTGATGTTCCTGCTATAGCACACTTCAAGGATTTTCTTTGTAATAGAGAAGAGGAAATTCATACACTTAGGCGATAGCATGGAACATAGCTCAATAGATAGATATGATGGGAATCAAGCTGATACTTTGATCAGTAAGAGAGAAGCAGCATGTGCAGTGCCACTACGCTTAGTGGCATTGCAAAGCTGCTCTAGGTAAAGGTACCTCTAGTTCCCTCAGCTCAATTTCACTTGGCACCTGAACTTTGCTGGAGCAGATGGATGCCAACCACAGAGTTACAACTGCAGATTCCTCCCTGAGCATCCATCCTCATAAGGGTAGTACAACAGTTTACTCTGCACACTTCCTGCTGATTCCTTTCATGTGGGCTGACCTCTGTTGTATTGTAGACTTATTGAGCCCAAAACCTTGGATTAGGATGAACAAGAAATGTGTTAGACTCTGTAACAAGAAATTGGTTAGACTTATTCCAGCAATGAATCCATGCTTAATGCTTCAGAGAAGGGTGAAAAATCTAGGAGCAGCATCCCTGTCTGCCTGACCTAAGGGTCTGTTTCCTTCAGTACAACAGATGTGGGGAATCATTCCGTGCTCTGATCAGCCCTCAGGGCACTCAGTGACCAGCCTCATCATCTGCAAAGAGCACTTCTCCCTCCTGGTCCCTTCAAACTCTTGGTTGGAATCAGGATGTTAACTGGCTAGTAGTCAGATTTTTATTTAGATGTAGGAAGAGCGAGCAAGTATGGTGTGGCTGGAACGGAGATCATCATGGAGTTTACTGCTCACAGTTGAGTGTACTTTGGATACCATTGTATCACTGCCACTGCAATCAACTCTTAGATCCTGGAGGTCTCTAAATGTATACTTTAGACTCATTAAAGTCATGGGAATGTAAGCATAAGTCTAAAATTATACGTATGGTCAAGTGATAATCTGAATTCAGACCATAATCTTTTGTACTTTAGGCTGTGGTAATATAAATCAGTGAAAAGTTCTGTGCATTACTACTAAAAGTATTTGCAGTAAAAATGAGATGTTTGGTTAACTTTGCTAGAAACTGGATGATTATTTAAAGAAATTACAGCAAATGGAATAGAATCTTTTACAGACTCTTCCTTCTGTTTGCTTTAAATTTGAGTCTTGGCTCTGTGTTCTTGTCAGCTAGCTATATCAATCTTTTTCTAGGCAGGTATCTGGTAATGTAAAGATTATTTCCTGACAAATAAATGTTTTTCCACTTTCTTGCCAATGCTTCTGATCCATGAGAGCAGGTAAGCAGAAGTGAAGAGAAAAACCCGTGTGAAGACAAGGTTGCAATTTCAGGCTTTATTTTAATTCAGAGCTCTTTCCACACTAGATTTCTTTTTTTTTTTTTTTTTTTCCCCAAATACTATTCTTGGTTTGAAACTTTAATTCTGGGCGTACATTTGGTGCCCAGATGGTGCAGATTCACACAGAAGCCCATCACGCTGTCAGGGCGGGTGGATACATACGTAAATATTTTGCCTTTTTCCCCTATAATATTTGGCTTTGTCTGATCTAATTGCTGTCAAAGGCAGAATGTGAGGAATGCTTAAAAGAAGCAAACAGAGAGGACCTCCAATGTCTGCATTGCAGTAACTTGGGAGGATGCTTAATCTACTCAGTGGTAACTAATAATTTTGTTGCATGGGGTTTTTTTTATTCATGCTGTGAATTCATGGTGTATGGTCAAAATCTGTCCCAAGTAATATTTTACAACCCAAAGCAGAAACCTGTATTTCTAGAGGCGTAAAAACATGGTTAACCCTTTGGAGCTATACGTAAGGCTAATGCCTCTGCCTTTTTAGTTTTGTTGCCAGTTAGTGTTGTCTGCATGCTTCTTGGTATGTCATTCTCTCATTTACATAAATCATTGCTTCATTTAATTCTACTGAGTGCATGTCTTAATGCATTTTTAAAACATAACTGCAATTCCAGAGCAGTTGCTCCTCTAAACAGTGGTAGCTAATAGCAAACAGTGTGGACAACTGCATTCAAGATGCCTTTTTAATTATTAGAGGGCTGTTCCAAAATACCGTAATATTAATGGAAAAATGATTTTCATGAGGTTTAAATCTGAATGCTCAGTAAGAGGGTCTAATGAAGACGGTGTTAGTTAAGGGTACTGGCAAGAGGGATGCAGGAAACTTTACTACTTTTTCACCAGTGCAAGAATGATTGCGCTGTCACAGACTTCCAATCAGATGTGGAAGTTGGTGAGGCTATAGTTCACAAAAAGCATTGGGCTATGCCAGGCCCATTCCTCTGAGGACACTGTGCAGAGAGCTGCCAGAAGAGGATGGCCTGGAGGTGTGATGATTGTAGAGGAAGAAAATTGGCTATAAAAGGAAAATATGAGTTTGTGACCAGAAGTCAAGCAGAAGAAGCACGTGGTTGGTTTTTTCCATAGAATGCAGATGAAATCCTATAAGTTGCACCAGGGTAAGTTTAGGTTGGATATCAGGAAAAACTTCTTTACAGGAAGGGTTGTTAAGCACTGGAATAGGCTCCCTAGGGAGCTGGTTGAGTCACCATCCCTGTATGCATTTAAAAACCATTTGGATGTGGTGCTCAGGGACATGATTTAGCAGAGGGATGTTAGAGTTAGGGTAGTATGGTGAAGTTGTTGTTGGATTCAATCTTCAAGGTCTTTTCCAACCTGAGCAATTCCATGATTCTAAGGGCAACAATGTTGCCTGTTCCAGCCATTTGTGTTGCCATTTGAAGCCTATTATCCAGAGGTGCTTATAAATTCTATTTGAGTCTGCTGTGAAAGTGGCTGGGTACCTTCCAGTCACTGCCATAGCCAGTGATACTTGCTTCTGCTCGTCTTGCTTCTTGGCTGTGGGGTGAATGTAGACTGAAAAATTGTTTTCTATAAATACATATTTTTCTCGTGGTGATTTTATTACTGAAGATAAGATGAAAGCTGTTTGCTTTGCACATCTCCTGAAGCCTGCCCACAGAAGTGTTATTGCAAGATAAGCTACAATGGGAATTTCTGATTTCTCTGTGGTAAATGCTGGCCCACGTATTGCTAGCTCGTGGCTCTGGGAAAAGAAAGGAAAGAAGGAGTGACTTGCCACGTTCTAGCCAGTGGTGAAAGCACAGCTCTGACAGCTGCTGTGTAGCCTTTGTTGTATCTTAATTTTGCATGTGAGCTTTTCCTACAGATTGCTTTTGCCTGTCATATGCCAAAGGTAGTACTGGCTGCCACACTGGATTGATGGCAGGGACTGATTTTCTCTCAGTCTTTACTTTTGCTTGTCAGGTCCATCTAATCTACAGCTGGGAGAACATATTGCATTCGTGTAACATCAATTTCCCTTCTGTATTTTTCCCTTTCCAGGAGCAATTGAGCGGTGCTCATACATCAAGTACCACTACTCCTCAGCGACCATTCCCAAGAACCTCACCTACAACATCACCAAGACAATCCGCCAGGATGAGTGGCACGCCTTGCGTAAGTGTTGCTGGCTTCCTTCTCCATTTTCCTCACGTACGGACTGAGGGAGGTGCTTGCTAAGAAACGAGAATGGGGAAATTGACAGGCAGCTCGCTTAGACTTGTGTTCTCACATGCAGTTAGTCTTTATAGCAGATGGATCAATTTGTACTTAAGACCTACATGGCTATTTCTGCTGCTGAATAGAAATTCTGCTGAGGCATAAAGAATTGGTGGTGGGAAGAGATGTTTATACGCAGAGATTAATATGTAGTTAAATATGAAAATGTATAACAAGATCAATGCCCTATTTTTTTTAATTTAGTAGAATGTTCAGTTTGTAAGTATGTCTTCCTGCATTTCATGCTGCTGCTGAGTTTCCTGCTTCCAGCAGAATTCATTGCTGGCTTTTACTGTAGAATATGTCCTCCTGCCTGCAGCTCCTGATAAGTGTGGCATCACTCTCTTCTGAAGATGTAGAAAGAGATGCTGCACCCTCAAAGGAACAGGGAAGGAGCTTTTAGCCTTTAGTGATAACAGTACCTGGTGGTCATCAACTTGTAACATTTGCTTAAGCAACAAAATCCGACAGAGATGGAACTGCCTTGAGTTGTATGGAGGGCTTTAAAGCTTTTTTCCTCATCTTGGAGTTGGAAAATGGCTTTTGCAAACCAAATAGAACAGGTAGGATTTTTGCAAGAAAGGATAGCACTGCAACTTCCTTTTGTTACTATGCAGTCATGGTTACTGATGAATGTCCAGAGTTCCTCTGCCTCAGTGCAAGTAGTAAACAGCCCTTTGGAAATGATGGAAGTTAAAGAATGCTGATATTGATGCGTAATCTCAGAAGGTAATTGTAAGCAGCAAGTCCAAACTGTCTGAGAAATATGTTGGAACTCTGGTGTTTCCAGGGCTTTCAGTACCTGTTTCACTCCTGCCTTATTGAGCTATTTCTCTGGAGGATGCTTTTAAGCTTTGGGAAGGAGAAGCTGTTACGATATCATTCACTCCTTGAATTGGTAAGATCAAACCTGGTTTTTGTTAGTTCTTGTACACCCACTGCAATATTTGATAAAGCATTAAAGTAGTTCCGGAGGGACCTACTGGGATCCTTTATTATTATTATAATTTTGATTCTATGGATAAACTTTTATTTTGATGTGATGAAGAAAAGGATTACTGAATTCCTGCCTCTCCATCCATCTCAGAAGGTTGTAAGAGGCCAGCCTTGCACAGTGTGGCACTTGTTTGTCCCTAAATTTAGAAGATCGGGTTGTTCAGTACCTTTCAGGTTGTCTGCTTCTATGCCATCTCCACTGGTGTCAGTTTTATGTTAGCACTGTTAGTCTGTGTGTGCAGAAAACAAACACCCTACTCCCTCCTGCCCCCTCAGAAAAGGCATCTTCTGTTAAGTTGCAGTACGAAGAGGCTGTGGTTTATGCTTCTGGCTATGTATGTGTGCTTTTGCCACTGCTGTGAGCAGTGATGACTCTTCTGTGATTATCCTCTGGGAATCTCACTAATTACTATAGGAATTATTGTCTTGAAGTTGATCTTTATTTCTGCAGTGTCTCGCAATGGGTTATCCTCATGCTCTTTGAATGTTTTTCCACAACTTAAATGTAATTACTAAATGTCTGGCAATGTTAGTCCTTCAGTGTGTGTGCCCCTTGATGGGATCAGCAAGTTCCTGAGCACGGTGTTGGCAGCTGACTGAAGCTTTCAGGAGTACATTTGGCAGTCTCCAAAGTGGCAGCCTATATGCAGTGCTTGCACTTTAACATATCTGATGTGATCTGAAGCTCTTTCAGGATGAGGCTGTTTGTTTCTTTCCTAAGGAGATTTCGCCAAGTGCCTGGGTGTGTGTGTGTATTTCTGACCCAGATTTTCGTGCTGATTCATGAGTCAGATAAATGCAGGTAGATGTAGATAGCCAGATCCATGCTTTGGAAAGACGTGGAAGGAAAAGTACCTTGAAGCTTTCTTCTCCAGGGTGGTTTAGTACATTGCTGAGTATATGATATATGGAGTAAGCCAGTGAAGGATCTGGAGCCCATTTTGCATTCAAATTGTATGTACAGCTTGCAATTTTTTTTCCTCTACAATATCTTTCAAAAGATGAGGCCAATAGCAATTTCTTTCAAATAACATTTAGGCCATGGGATGTTCTCCCTTTAGAAAAGCTTTGTGATTGAGCAGCCACCCCTACATCATTAAGCACTTTCAGAAAGTCCCTGTAATCTTAGTCCCTTCCTTAGCAGCTGACACAGTTCTATACCTCTGGACTAGTTTCATCCAGGGCACAGTTAATTCAGCTCCCCACTGCTCTTCCTGAGGCAGCATAAACTTTCTAAGTCAGCATGACAATTATTTTCCTCTGAACAATTCCCTATTCATAATTTCTCTTTCCCTCAGTGTACAGGCAATAAAGGAACAGACCTGTTGTTTCTCATGTTCTCCATATGGGTAATTTCTCAGATCTGTAACATAAAATGGGAGAAAGGAAAAACTCTGTATCCTGATGAGACACTGCGATTAAACTGCATCTGGAAAATTTCAGGGGAACTGGAAAGGTGAAAGTGGAGTGTTTGTTCATACTTCTAAAGAAAATACCACTTCCAGGCAGAAGCTTCTGCTGTCCTTTGATATATCTGTATTTCAGTACTGGTTGTTTTCCTTCCCTGGTGCAAGAGAAGCAAAGAATGGGCCTGGGAAGGAATTCTGTTGACATACTTGCATACTTGGTTGGGGTGCAGAAGAGAGAGGACTCCAGCCATGCTCAGCAGACTACTTTTTTCAGGCTGACCAGACAGGACTGGTGCTCTAGCAGTTTCTCTTGTGTTGCAGGAGTGGGAGATGGGTAATTGGTTTGAGGCCAAGGACCCCATGGCACCCACTGGTACAGAAAGCAGTTTTTCCTATAGCTATGCTGTCAGCTGTGCTAGAAAAACTCAGAAAAGAATCTAGACCTGAAGGAATGGCTGGACCTAACTTTATCACTTTTGATTTTGTCTTTTTTCATTCTATTTGACATTTTCAAGATGGAACCTTTGCTCCAAATTGATTGCCTATGGCATCGTGAGCTGGGGAAATAGGACTTCACTTCCCTGCAATCACTCCTTCTCAACTGTCTCTGGTTAAATAGGGACGTAGGGAATAATGATTGTAGTATTGCCAACTTGCTACTGTCAGGAGATAATGTTCATCTAATTAGACAAAACAAATGTCTATACAAGCTGAGAAGGGAAGGGAGAAGGGAAAGAATGCTGCATCCAACAACTTTGAGCATGAATAACTGTCACTACATGGAAGCTGCCAGTGTAATGGTGTGACTTCTCAGGTTGCCCAGAGAAGTTGTGAATGCTGCATCCTTGGAGATTTTAGAGGCTGGGTTGCATGGCCTAGTGGGTGGCAACCTGGCCCATGACAGGGGATTAGAACTGGATGGGCTTTAAGGTTCCTTCTAACCCAAGCCATTCTATGACTGTGTCAGTCGTAGAATCACATTTTGACCCCCTCCTTATGTACAGAAATATAGTCCACTGCTCTGGCTTCTGAAACCCTCTACCAGCACCAATGATCCTTTTAGAAATGGAGGTATGTGTCACTTGAACAAAAATTTAAAAATCAGAACAGTGCTATATTTATTGTATTTAATTCCATATGTTTTGTTTTGTTCCCATAGGTTTACTCTGTGCTATAAACGTGCTCATGAAACATGGGAAAAATGGTCATGGCAGGGGTTTATAGAGTTCATGGAGTATAGCACAGGCATTGGAAATGGTGTGAGGCATTTTCACATCATGGAATAAGCGTCCAACCAGGAAGCTTTGGACAGGAAATGTTTTTTTTAATCTTATTTGAAAACTTCAGGAAGTCATTGCCTGGCATATTTTATAAAAGAAAGTAAAAGATTGTTTGCTTTGTTACTGTTTGTGCTACAGTTTTCAATATGTGTTATATTCAGTCTGATATCCTCCAGGAATCTGCATCTCCAGGCATCTGTTCTCTAAGGCCACTGTGAGGGAGGGAGGGAGGTGTAAGGCACCCAAAGTCCAATCCGGTTTGTTCCTTGGAGTAAAACCAGACGCCAATGAGTGATGCTGTTTCATACTATCAGAGTGTAGGAAGGCCATGTTTTGTTTTGTTGGTTTTTTTTTTTTTTTTTTTTTTTTTTGCTTATAGGCTTTAGACAACCTGTGCTCTACAGTGTTCTTCTGCAACAGTCTAAGGACCAACTGTTCTGTGAAGAAGGCTAGCCATAGTTTGGAAAATATACACATAGTTTGGAAAATAAACATGCTTAAGTCAGATGGGAAGGTAAAGATAAGAGGAAATAGGTTTTTTTCATACTTCCTTAGATCCAGTCTAGTATGATGTTTTTATTTTTGCCTCCAGGTTCTTTGTTTAGACCTTATGCTTTCTCACTCACTTGTGCCTATGAACATACTTGTATTTGCTGTGGGACTTCTGTGCATCCATTCTGTGAGACCAATTTCAGCAAGAAGAGTTGTGCAGGAAGCAGGTACCACAGGATTGTGGGTTAACCTCCTCTGGTCTCAGAACTGTCCTGAGCCACATGGGGCTGTTGCTTGTGGGTCACTCCAGTCTTCCTCACTGATGTCTTGTCAGATGAAGCAGGGAAAAGGGGCTTTTCTAGGACTCTCTTAACTAAGACAGGCAAAGAAATTACTGCAAACAAGCAATGATGCGTGTTCTTAAAGAATGAGACCCTTTTCTCTGAGAACAAGCCAAACTTCTGTGTCTTCTTTCTCCTGCATTGGTAGCTGAAACAGAGAAATGCTGCATGATGCTCAGAGCCTTTGTATGGCAGAGCTCCCTGTAGCTTGCACTGCATCACATGAACATTTCCAGAAGGGACATGAAATTCCTTCCTTCTCTCCAAAAGCTTATTTTGCTGACTCATGGAGTCAATCATACAAGATAGACAGATGTCTTCTAGCCTCTTATTTTTCTTTCCTTCTCACCTATCACAAACCTGAATTTTTACTTTGAATT